AATGGGTTTTTCAAAGAACATCATCCATTTTCCTGATTGAGCCTTGTTTTAAATCTCGGAAGTTTTTTAAAATCAATTCTGCTGATACTTTCCTTGTTGGTCCTCTTTCGCATGTTCTCTATGGTCTTCCCAAAGACGGTGTTGTTCATAAGCTTAAAAAGGTTTTTTTCAAACTCATTTTTAGCGTTTTTACGAAGTTCTGTATTAAGAGCTATGTATGACTTTAACCATGTAGATTGTTTGAACTTCAGCACTTTATGTATCTTCTTCAATACTAAACCGTGTGGTGAAGCCTGTTTCTGCATTCGGTAGTGAATAATATATTTCTCTTTACAGTTATGCATAGACCATGAATGGGGCTTTTTCTCTCTTTGCCTTCTGTTCTAGCGCGAATGTCTCATTTATTCTCACACAATTCTTCATATATTTATTGAACTCATCTTCAGAATAAAAATAGTGTAAACAGTGGCCATAGATGTATTTTCGCCCATTTTCTTTGCTCAGCTGTTTCGAAAGAAGCTTGGAGAGATCTTTGATCCACACATACTGATAGTTGATGGGGGCTGAAAGCCTTTCGCAAGCATCTTTCTCATCAAAGTATTAACCCTGAAAGAGTAGGAGATTGACATGCTTCTCTACCTTATTTTTGAGAGATTTACCTGCGGGGTGACTATCTTCTTCTTCATTTTGCTTAAAACATAAACATTTATCGAAATACTATTCTGTTTCTCGAATCAGGGGTGATCCTTACACTGGTGTACTACTAATAAACAAATTGAATGACTAGCTTCTTCTTCGTTTTGCTTAAAACATAAACATTCATCGATATACTATTCTGTTTCTCGAATCGGGGATTCTGCTTGCTCAAGATATTGCACGGAGGACCAGGGTTCAAGATCATATTTTTAATCGAATTTTACACAGAACGCTGATAAAAAACTTCAATCGCAATTTGTTTACCACTTTCTGATAAAGAGAAAAAAAAGGAATGACGATGCTGTGATTCATAAAATATTTATAATGATTTCCGCTTTTTGAAACCGTAAGGTACAGAAGTGTGATCTTCGAGAAATTTCCGCTTCAAACTTACAGGCTTGTACTTTTTGGTTACATCAACTGTGATGACCTCATGCTCCTTGGTTCGACGTACCTGTTTGCTCACTAGTTGACCAGACTTTATAATCGTAATTCTTTGGTCCATCAGATACAGGGTACTGCATTCACTGAGGTAAATCTGTGCTTGCTATCATCCCCTGCGATATTAGAAGATTCTGCCCCTTATGTTATATTTTTATTCAATACATTTACTTATACTCTACATTATTATTTTTTTGTCATATATATTGTTACTTCTTCGAAATATTTTCAAAATGTTCAGGTGAACCTCGTAATTCAACCGATATTGAAACATTGGGTTTCTGTGGAGGTCTATGAAAAGAGAGGCGAATCCTGATCAGGAGACATATTACCTGTGATGGATTTTTCACTTGAACTTTTTAAAAATATTGTTGTTGTACGCACACTGAGACCTTGTGTCTCACAGCCTACCGCAGTTTCAGATCATGCCATAAGGAGACGTCGCACTACCCTGTTGCCCACTCATCAGCTCAGCCTTCTGATGGTGCAGCCGTAGATGAGGACTGATGAAGCACAGCCCTAAACTACGAGAAATGAACTTCTCTGCAGACTTCTCGTCGATTCGACTTGATGGCCTCAGCGACAAGTCGACAGGTTCAGCTCAAAGAGGACCCCATAGCCGTATAAATGTAATGAAAGACGAAAGCTTTTTATATCGTTTATTCAAATATTATGATATTACATTGGCATTCTTGAGTTCGTTAATAATCAATGAGATTTCTTCATTATCATCGTGTTCGTTTGCTCCAATCAGATATCTTAGTCTGTCAACCAATTATCTAGAATATCGTAGATCGTTTCAGCCTGCTTCTCCCTTCTCGATCTATGTTGTGATGTGACATCAGGCTCTTCTCTCACCCTGACACTTCGTTTAGGTCTGGTCTTATTTTTAAAGAGGGGTTTAATAACTTCATTAAATTTAGCCTTGTTAGCAAGTCCCCTCAAACGGCTTAGTGCGTCGCGATGAACATTGGTGCTTTCCAATATCTGTTTATATGTATGGTGATCCATAGGCGTATATATTTTAGGATTTTTGGAAAATATCAATTCCAAAAGACCCAAAGTACTTTTAAAATTGACAGCATCTACAACTATATCTTTATCGACAAAACGTAGTTTCTTATTTCCAAGTTTCCATCTGGCGTCAACATATTTCGGTCCATAAGCATTATCATAATCTGTACAATGCTATTTATCTACTGTTTGCTCTGCTGACTGCTCTTCTCTTTCCTCAGGCTCCATTGGCGCGAGGTGGTGGTGCTCCTTTGTCGGTTGCTGTTAAACTAGTCTGACTGCTACCAAGTCCTATTTATAACAGGCTGAATACCTCTGAAGACATCTGAATACCTCTGAAGACATCTGAATACCTCTGAAGACATCTGAATACCTCTGAAGACATCTGAATACCTCTGAAGGCGTGATCTGAAGACCTCTGAAGACATCTGAAGACATCTGAAGACATCTGAAGGCGTGATCTGAAGACCTCCGAATACCTCTGAATACTTCTATAGGTGTGCTCTGAAGCGATCTGAAACGCTTTGAAGCACTTTGAAGCCGTCTGAAACGTTTGAAGCTGTCATCATCGGCCGTCATAGTTATACAAGATAATAAATATTACTATAGGGTAATTTCGAGAACGACAACTGCTTTCTTTGTAACTATATAACAGATATCCTTATTGAGTTCCAATACCCCATCCTACAAAGAATCTTGAATCTTGTATGGAAAATTGCCGTTTTCAGCATAGCACAACGCTGGGTGATTTCTCATGTTGTTATTTTGTTCATAGGTGTGTTTCAGAAATGTTAGTGAAAAGGTAGAGTACCCACTACACGACCCCCCCCCTTTTTTTTTGTCATGATATCTCTATAGTACGGCAAATGCGTAGTTCTGTGTCGCAGAAAGCACACACTACGTTGGTACTATAGGTGATGATTGATTCACAACAGCACCTATAGTACGGCCAATGCTTAGTCGTTGAAATTATATCACAGAACACTGTGTTGGTACTCTAGGTAATGATTTTTTCACAACAGATGGCCATTGAAATTATGCCACAGAACGCGAACACTGTGTTGGTACTGTGGGTGATGGATATTTCACAACAGATAGCAACACTATAGTACGGCCAATGGTTAGTTCTGTGTCATAGAACGCGCACATCATGTTGGTACTGTAGGTAATGATTGTTTCACAACAGATGGCTGCACCGTAGCTTATAGCCAAACAGATACGTCAACATTTTGTGCGATCCTTTCTTTAATGGAGGGTTTGAATTTCGCGCCAACGACATAAATCGAGGATCCATATGATAACGCCAGCATTCTCATATTTAAACGAACCATTACACGAACATCGTTTGAATTTCCCGCCAAATCGCGAGGGCTCGGGATATATTTCAAATAGAGGCTCCTGATTGGTCGACAGGCAGGCGGTGAGAGGTGGAGGGGGAGAGAGAAAAAAGTGGAGGGGGCGTCCCATACCGCCCGAGTACCTACTCATGTATAGAGAGATTGCGCTCATCAAGCACATTCTTGACAAACTCCTGATATTGTTGTTTGCCTATGTCTGCAAAGGTACGCAAGGTTATAACCACCGATTCGCTTGCGTAGTTGCGACTGTCAAGACATACTAGATTAGGAAAATCATCCAAGAAGGGATTGCCTATTTCGTTAATGGTTTTACTTAGCCTGACAACCTGTTGCTGAAAGTTTCTCTGTGATGAAAGTCCCTGCTCATGATGTTGAAAATTATTAGGATTATCTGTATCATCATTATCGGGAATGTATTCTTCTTCAAACTGTTTGATCATTCTGGCAATCTCAGGCCCTGAAAGCATCCATCGTCGAAAAGCAACAGGGTTTTCTGTGATTCCAATAACACCGCCCGAGCCCTTCACGATCTTATTCTCTTGTTCGTGAGCCTGATCAAATGGTATTGTAGATAATGGGTTGCGAGTTTTTGAAATGACCCAGTTTGAACATCGCTCAAATTGATCCTTGATAGAGTCAGGCAATGACTTCATATCCCTTATGTGGACTGGCATCGATCTGGAGTAGTTTACATGATCCAAGGTAAAGAATAGTGGTGTAAGTTCTTCTAAAATAGCAACATAAAAAATTAAATTCCAGGGCAAACAGAGGTTGGTCAAATGTAATTACTGGTATTTGTCCTGGATTGAGGAATTGAATAGCTTCCCTAATGACTTCCATGCCATGTTTGATCATTGCTGGTGTGGCCGCTTTCTCATAGAACATAGGAAGAAGTGTACACAGGGCTGGAGGATCTACTATCGGAGGTTGCATCGCGGCGTGATAGGCAGCCCATGTTATGTTATCGCCACTAGTACGATTTTTTTTGCAAAATACGTAGTGCATGCTGGAGCCAATTACGTTCCTTTGATTTTGCTGCATCTAAACATTGCTCTACTGGAGACATATTACACTGTGGTACAACAACATCAGTGGTCTTCAAAGCTACGGATGGGACACAAGCATAGCTGTCAGGAAGAGAGTGATTTAAGTCTCCGGAAGGCGGAATTGTAATAGGTATTTGGCTCTCCTCAGGTTCTACATTTGTAGGCATCTGAAAAAAACTGATTCCAGTTCCATGGAATGAGGACAATGATGTAGTTGAGCTCGAGTTGTGGTCTATATTGTCAAGAGCAGCAACAGTAAACAACCCTTTACGGAGACAAGCAGGAGACACCACTCCATTTTCTTTGAAGCGTTCACAGGAAGAAGTGCCTATCCAATCTTCAATCTCCAGAATCCTATCATATGAAATGCAAATGCCTAGCTGACATAACTTCTGGATAAGTTTCTTACTTCTAGTAGCCGCATGAACATTGATGTCGACATAGATCAGAAAGGGGGCTCAGGTTCCTTGCTGTGTCGTGCCTTCAGGGTACTATGAGACATTTTTGTCCCCGAGTTGTAAACGATGCACTGGCCAATGGTTAAGCATGCCTGAGAGTCTCGCTTTACTTGATCTTGCAAGTTTGACCCAACTAATATCATAGATACAAGTGACTTAAGACTTGCCGGTAATGAGTCTTCTTGACATTCTGCTGGAAAGTAGCCACTAAACTTGAAACCTTGGTGATTCATAATATATTTCCTGACTATTGCTGCTGCCTTGGAAAGGATAACAGCATTTTCTGAGAAGTCTCGAATCTTCAGGGCTTCCCTCAACATATTCCTCATACCTTCATTGAATATAGTTACAGTGTGTCTTCCATCAAACTGCTCTTGGGCTTCTGGGAAATGCTCCAATAATTTATTCTTGAGACTTGTCTTGTTGATTTGTTTATTGATGCCCAGTTCCTCAAGACGATTTACATACATAGAGTGAATCTCAGATACTTCAAAAAGAAGAATGCCAGACTTCACTGATGTACGAATGTAACTGCTTAGTTCTACGAAGGACCGACACTCATTCAATTTCTCATCTGTGTTTTCATCTTGTAGGTTTGCTTTACGAGTTAGGCTTCTGTAGCGATTTCTAAGATGGACCAAGCATGCAAGGTGGTATTTGGCTTCCTTTGCTATAAGGTCTCCTCCAATTATTCTTGTCAAGAGCTGTGTATCATTGAGCTCTGTGATCATGGACCGAATATTACTGTCGGTATCAAATGTTGAAACTTGATGGAGTAGACCTTCATCTTTGCCTTTCTTACAAAACAAGCAACAATCTACCTCCAATGTTACTCGTTTACTAGGACTTGGGTTTTGACAAACACCCGTTTGTTGTCTCTTTATTGCCTTTGCCAGCTTCGAATTGTTAAATTTGAGATGACAAGATTTGTGCCATGAAGCAGAATGAGAAGCAAAAGTATTAGCATTTTCATTTATTCCAAAAGACAGTTCAACTGGGAGAGCATCAATGCTTCGAAATTGTTCTACATTTTTTAGGAATGTTGTGTAAGCATCTGTTTGTTCACCACTTGTGCCTGGTGTCAGTAAAGGACATTTCAAGCTTTCCCCAGTGTCATTCTGGCAAATTACGCATCGATCCCAGTTCACATCCATGTTAAATTATCCTGAAAAAAAATATATCATATATATTAACTGAAATAAAATCAACGATATTAATAATTAATGAAATAAATTAAGGTAAATTAATCCAGCGTTAATTGAGGTGAAAGAAATTAAATTAATTCGAAATGGTAAACAAGATGCAACACAACAAAAAATATCTGAAAGTACTACCGGGTTGTCGAAAAGATGCCGTGAAATATAGAAATGTGTGTTTTGACTAAAAAAACGCATGATTTTTCAAAAAATTCCCGAAATTTCAGAGGCTCCTAGGCTAAAATTAGTAAGTATACCCTAAGGTACCTTCATACCAAATTTGGTGCTTGTAAACGCCAGGTAACGGTAATCTCAAAATACAGCACTAAGCCACCTGACTATATGGCCATAGTGCTTCTTTTGAGTGATGCATATAATTTATTTCCATCATCTAGTACTTTTGAATAACTTGTGCAGGCACTATCCAACTTACAACTTCCTTGACTCTTTTGGAGACGTTTTCTTTGATGCACACATTTCTTTCCTATCAAATTTACATGGAATAATTGAAGGGATCTGTTAATATAAACAATAACATGATTAAAATTATTAGCATAGGTACCTGCTTTTGTTCTATTACAGTTATAGTAAATAACCTTTCCTTTAGTACCTCTCCATGTTCTAGCTACGACGTAATTGCATTTCTCCTCCACTTCATAGTTATTTTTCCAACACTCAAATTCTAAAATTAAATGAGTTTACGTAAAGAAGTACATGAAAGAATATTTGTTTGTATTCAAGATTAGAGAACTACTTACCGCTCTTATTTGTAAAAATAATGTCTTCCATTTTTTCAAATAACATACTATGGTCTTGCCGAAGATGATGTATTAAACTTTCACATTTCTGATAAGAATTATTGCAGTTTGTCTCTAAACATTTGTAATTCCAAGCTGACTCATCGTATGAAACCGGATTTGCTTCTAGATGGTGTATTTCTCGACGATGTCTATTCAAATGAGACTGGTTCGAAAATATTTTGTTACAAACAAAGCACATAACACCCATTTTTTAAGAAATAAACGGCTAAATAAAATAATATCAATCTCAAATCTCAAGTGTCAACAAGTCAAAAGTTGAGGTTATGTTATTTTTTTAACAAACCACAATGACAGATGAAGCGCTTGCGCAGTAGGAGGGTCGGCCAGTGGGATTTAGCATCTCGTTATTTGCTTCCTGTAGATTATACTTCCTGGTTCCTTCGAGTAGGTCACGAGTGTAGTGTGCTTCATTGCTGCTGATAATGACGAGTTCCTTGAATCCCTCCTTTGAGTGGGTCTCCTACCAAAGGGTATTTCATAACCAGAGATCCACCCTAATACCACTGAATTAGTTGTCACTTTTGACCATTCTAGTGTGAATTGACCAAGCCTGCCTGCATACTCTACCTCTACTGCCGAGGATGATACTGCTGATGACATTGAGGCTGATACTGCTGATAATCTTGGTATGGTCTTCTCCTGCTTCTGTCTCTTCCACTCACCTCCTTTTTTCCTGGAATTTGCTTCATTTTCTGCCTGTAGTTGCTGCATTTGGGGTGTGAATAGTTTTTAGTACCTGTGCTAGGTGCAACTTTCAATACCACTTCCATCTTTTCAGCCTCCTGTAACTGGTTAATGCAGTTACTTGATTCATTCCCAAATAAATGAGCATCAATTCCACTTGAGTTCAATGATTTGTGTAATTTGGAGTCAACTGCAGGAATTATGCCCATTATACGATGACCTGATAGTCTATAATGAACCCTGGTGAACATCTTAGATGCATCTGATAGTGTTGACAATAATTCTCTCTTCCCAAAAACTCCGTCCCCGTTATTTGGTTAAATGCTTCTGCCAAAATACTCAAACCCAAGCCTAATTGGTCCTGCAATTTACTGGTGGAAACATTCTGTTCGAGTGATCGTTCAGAGCACTACCTGAATCTCTGGATTCAGAATTGGGGCTTTCAAAAGAGGGCAATTTGTAAAAAAATTCCAACGATCCAACAGTTCTCTTTCTTAGTCCTTGTCAAACCCTGCCTCAAGAAAACTTGCCTACCTTGACACCAGCCGCGAAAGCGAAGCCTTTCCCTCTACTGGTTGCTTGGTAGGGTCCGTCCATAAGACATCCTCCAGGTCATAGGGGCTATATTTGACGTTTGAAGATCTGAATACAATTTTCATTCAGATTGAGGCTATCTCGAATGCCAGACCCTTAACTCCTATATCCGATGACCCTACAGATTTAATACCACTGACTCCAATCCATTTCCTTATTGGGGATGTACTCACATCTATACCTCAGTTGGACATACAAAATGTGTCTGAGAATAGATTGAATCATTATGAAAGACTACAACAAATTATCCAAAATTTCTGGAATCTTTTGAGAAGTGAGTATTCGGCTACACTCCAGCAGAGAAGTAAGTGGAGACAAAATCTCACAAGTTGAACATTGGTGATATGGTGTTGCTGAAGCGCGAGAATGCTGCACCTATGAATTGGCCCTTAGGCAGGGTCATCAAAGGCCTGTTCGTTAGTCATGCTCACGCTGCTCAAATCTGAGTTGAGCAGTATTCCACTGTTCGTTTGTTATAAGCAACTGATCTGAGACCGTTCGTTTGACAGGAGCAAGTTGCTAAATATCAGATAAAGCAGGATTTATTTGTTCCACCAATTTGTGTGGAGCAGAAAAATCATATCAGTTTGATCTAGGATTTTCAAAAATTTACAAAAATCGAACACCAAAATGAATAGAAACTAGTCAAAACAAATGGTGAGCTGAATCTTTGAAAAATTATTGTGATCCTACCAATTAGTACCACTAAACAAACGTTACCTACTTTATACTCCATTTGGTTTTAGAACAAATACTCAAAATTCCTACAGGACAAGAAAACATATATGATGGAGCTATTCTTGAATGAGGCAATGGCAAATATTTGCAACTTTCAGTGCCAGAACTGCCAGAGTCATGTATTGGAAGTCAGAATAGTATATGTTGAACCAAATGGAGAAGTCTTGAACGTTCTTCCAAAAAAACTGTAATCAATAAGAGAAGAACTGGTCGAGGTAGACAGACTTGTCCTCATGAAAGGTACTCACTTCCAGGATATAATTGATATTGATGTATCATGAAATGTATCTTTGTACAATCAATGTTCTATGTCAGATGTAGTTCCATGATTTCATGATAGATGATGACGACAACAACGTCACTGGTCAGATGTGTGACTGAGACATAGATGGTGGACAAGAATAAAACACATGAAGATCAATCGGTGTTTTATTTATTAATAAGAAATACATCATGGCGCAGTCGGTCTAAAAATTGATTATTCGTTGGATGAACAAATGAAGGCAAGTCATATTTCAACGGAAAAAGTCGAATGAGAAACTGAAAATGATAGCACCGCAGGCATCCACAGTGCCCACACATACACCTGTTCCAGTAGCAGGACTGGTAATACCAAGTCCAATGATATTAAATGGAAATTTGAGTGAAAACTGGTCGAGGTTCAAGCAGAGATTCAACATTTACATGACAGCTTCAGGACTGAATAAAGAATCTGGAGAAAGACAGGTGGCAATTTTACTGAACATCATTGGAGCTGAGTCGATTGACCTATTTAACACATTTAGATTAGAGGAGATTGAGAAAACGAATATCAAAAAGGTGCTTGAGAAATTTGAAGCATATTGCAATCCAAAGAAGAATGTGTTACACTCAAGGTTCCTGTTTTATGAGAGGAAACAAAAGGAGTATGAAACTTTTGATTCCTTCCTGTTAGAAGTGAAATCTTTGGTGAAAGATGCTGAGTTCAAGGCACCAGAAGAAATGTTAAGGGATAAAATTGTATTACACAGTGCTGATAGAGAAACTCAAGACAGATTGATTAAAATTGGAAATGTCACTTTAGAAGAATCAATTGAAGCATTCCGAATAGCAGAAATCACTAGAAAGCAGACTAAAGAAATCCATGGAAGAGAGGTGGATTACATAGGAAAGAATGGGGAACCACAAAGGTATGGAGAGAAATGGAGTCAAGGCAACAATAGAGGAGTAATTCACAGAAGAGAGGAAAGGGGTCATACATATACACGTAATCAAGAAAGAAAACAAAATTCTAGTATAGATAATCGAGAAGGGTATAAAAATAAAACAGATGATAATGGAAGAACAAGTGGTAAGAATTTCAACAGCAAATGTTATAGATGTGGTTATAGTCACAGCTTTCGGCATTGTCCAGCTATGGGAAAACAATGCAGTAAATGTAGCAAATTTAATCATTTCTCCTCTGTTTGCAATTCAAATGTAAATCAGGTACAGAGAGTTGAAGATGAAGCTAGGGATCAGTTTCAAGATGAATACTACTGTGATTCTATAAATGAAACTAATTTTTGGAAACAAAATTTAGTAGTAGAAATGATAGAAATAGACTTTAAAATAGATACAGGGGCAGATGTAAATATAATACCAATGAATGTTTACAAAAAGATAGAAGAAGAAAATAAGGTGAATTTCAAAATTAGTAAAAATAACGTTAAACTGATGGCATACGGAGGTTTTAAAATAGAAACACTAGGTGAAGTTATGTTGAATATTCATTTGGGGGATAGAAGAGTGAGTGAAAAATTCGTAATAACAAAAGTAGATTCTGTACCAATTTTAGGCATGAGTGCAATCAGGAGGTTAGGTCTTGTAACTAGAAATAAGGTATGCAGTGTTAGTGCAGAAGGTTTAAGAGAGATTATGCTCAAACAGTATGATAATGTTTTTAAAGGTATAGGTTGTTTTCCAATGGAGTACAGTATATGTGTAAAAGAAAATGTAATTCCTACCACGAAGCCACCACACAGGGTTCCAATAAAATTCAGAAAGAAGCTGAAAAATGAAATAGAAAGGTTAATAAAATATGATATCATTAAAGTAAGCACCCATCCAACAGAGTGGGTAAATCCTTGTGCAGTTGTTGAA